AACCATCAACAAAGCAGTTTCCTCTCCCTAGGGAGGAGGGGGTACAGACACCGTCAGAGTGAGGGGCTTGTGCTTTTCCCTGGGAGCAGGAAGGAGCAGCATCTGAGATGCCACCTGCCAGACATAGAGCAGGGCAGTGAGCCTCTGGTCCTAACCAACAGCTCCTGGGGTAGTGGGGAAGCCGAGGCTGCACCCACCACTACTACCTCCCAGTTACTGTCACCCCCACCCTCTGCCGGCTGTCCCTGCTGACCTCTGCAAACGCCCACCCCCAGAGCTGGCCCTGCTCCAGGCTCTGAGGCCAGAGCCCCGAGGCCCTCCCACTCCTACGGGGTGAGGTGGACTCAGTTCCTAGGTTCCCAGACAGCCCCTCCCTGCCAGCCAGTGAGACCAGACAGTGCTCCCCCTGCTAACCCACCAACTCCCACCTTCCCGGCTTGGAGGCAGTTAGCTGATGGAGTTTGGACAGACTGGCCTGACCCCAGGAAAGGGCCGGGGCTTTCCTCTCCTGCCACCGACACCGCCCGCCCACCCCCCACCCCCCTTATCTGCCTGTGTCTGGCACTGCAGGGCTGTGCTGGCTGGGCAGTGTTAGGAGGCCTGATTTTCTCAATCCTCTTATCTCCTATAAACTCCACACCAGCACAGGCCCCAGCCCCCTCCCTTCAGGCTCAAGGGTATGGGGGAAGGGGCAGGGGCTGGGCCGGCTTCCCAACCACGGGCCCGGATTCCCGTTTGACCGAGCATCCCCTGTGCCCCTGGAAAGGGAGGGCCCAGCACCTGCCTCGCGGGCTGCACAGCGACAACCTTGGCTTGCAGAGCTGGGCGAGGCTGGCGTGGCTGAGTCAGTGTTGAGTACTACGACTCTGACCGTGTACGTGGGGAAACTGAGGCCTCAGGGGCTAGTCGCCCCAGGAAGTACTAGGCCAGGTGCGGCAGCCGGTGCCGTGTGCCCTGGGGCTCTGTGCCCACCCGCCTCCTACCGCCTGCACCTGGAACTCAGAGCCCAGGAGAGCAAAGGCAACACTCACGGGCCCACCCCTGCCAGCTCCAGGGGCCTCTTGCTGCCGCCAGGACCCTCACCTTCCCCCCTGAGGCCTGGCCCATTGCTCTGGCCTCTGAGGGACACTGAGGCCGAGGCAGGCGGGGGAGGGGGGGTCGCGGGGGGAGGGCAGCAATGCCCAAACCCACAGTGCCACCCTGGGCGGCCCGCCCGTTCTGGCCCGGAGACCCTCCTGGCTCTGCCCCGGTGGCTCCGGGGTTGTTTATGAGGAGAGAACTGGGGACCGGGAAGGGGGTGGGCATGCAGGGAAGGGTTTCCGGCTTCCCAGATCAGCAGGGCGGGCCGTGCAGCGACTTCCCCAAGTGTGTGTCAAGGTCCTCTCCCTCTTCCCCACCCAAGGAGGGAATGGGAAGTGTCCAGATGGAGGCGGGAGGTGGGCGGAGGAGGAGGGCATCCATCATCTGGGCTGAGCTAGGCCTCCCCCCATCCTGGGAAATTTCCAGGCGCCCGAGACCCCTGACGTGGAGCAGAGGAGACCAGGTCTACCCGGGTGTCCCAAGGCCTGACCCAGCTCTGACTGCTGCCTCTGGGTCTGGGCCCTGGGCAGGCCTGGGGAAGGAGCCCCAGCGTGCGGCCCCCAACCCCTCCACCCCATCAGCCCGCTGCCGGGGCCGGGGCCTCATGCTGCCTGGCTCCACCATCCTCCTGAGTGGCCTTTGGCACTGCCCGCTCCTCCAGGGCCATGTGCCCGGCTGTACCAGGTGGTGCCGGTCCTGCGGAGAGGGCAAGCGGGCGGGAGGGCCACCAGGTACCTGGCTGAGTGGGGGGTTCCCACCCGTGGGTTTCTGCCCCTCACATGCCACAGGCTCCTCCCACCCCCAGCTCCCTCAGGGGGACCGAGGCATGCAAGGCCTCCCGGCTGGCTCAGCCCCTCCCTGCAGCCGCCAGCTGCCCGCAGCCCCGTGGGGACCTGTGGCCTCTCTCCTGAAGACCCTGCAGCCCAGAGGGCAAGGCCGAGAGGGTCTGCAGGGACAGGTGGCCGGGAAAGGGACCCTGCCCAGGGTGGCCCTGCAAATTGTCCCCACCCTGCCTGCCCCCTTAGCTCAGCACACAGAGGAGTGACTGAGGCAGCGACAGGCAGCGACTGGGGCAGGGAGACACCTGCTCCCCCCATCCCGCCCCAGCCAGGGTCATCCAGGGCGAGAGCAGCCCAGCCTACCCGGGGCGGGTGCTGGAGAGGACAGACCATGCTCCATGCCGGCCCCCACCACGGGCAGTGGCAGATGCGAAGGGAGCCTGGGGTAGCGACCACCCCGGGGGAGGGGAGGGAAGCCTGCAGAGGGGGTGGGGCGGCCAGGTAGGTTGAGGAAGGGCCTGTGCAAAGTCTGCGATGATACCGGCACCTTCCAGAGCTGGGACGAGCTGGGAAGGCCAGGTGGCGGGGGAGGTGAGGTCAGGGTGGCCAGGGCAGGCTGCAGTGGCCGCCCTGGGGCACGGATTTTCACCGCTCCATGGTGAGTGGTTCCACGCATGGGAAGACGTGGCCTGATGGCTTTTCAGAGAAAGAGCACATGGCAGGGGCAGGGGCCTGGAGACCACCCTGTCATCCGGGCCAACCAGGGAAGGGCTGGGCTGCGACAGGGGGAGGCCCAGGGGGCTGACAAGCCTATCTCCCGGCGGCAGCGGGAGTCCTGCCTGGGTGCAGACAGGGGAAGGGCCCAGCGTGGTTCCGTCCGGCCTTGGGGAGGATTGGGGTGCACATGGGGCCCCCGAGGGGTCTGGGGCAGTCTGAGGGGATGACCCAAGTTGGCCAGTTGGAGGGGCACGGCCTGCCCTGGATCCACAGACCTGAAAGCCCCCATGGGCAGCACATGGGGGGCAGGGGGGCCGGGGGGCAGGTCTCACCTGCTCGGCTCCGACCCCAGCAGACCCTGGCTGCCCTGGGGGCCCCTGGGTGGGGCTTCCCAGCCTCAGTCCCCTGCCTAGGCGTCGGGGACTTTCTCCCTCACCCTGGACAGGAAAATCCCCGCTTCCCTTAGTCACCTTGTGAAACGAGAACCCCACCCACCCTGGGTCTCAGTTTCACTCTGAAATGTCAGCGTCACACCCACCCCCGTGGGGGTGATGTCGCTGGGGCGCCCAGGCTCCAGGGGCCGGGGGGTGCATCCAGCCGGTTCTCCAACCGAGCCCCCGATGGACCCCGCACAGGTGCAGCCCGAGGCCCGGGGACAGGCACCAGCGAGCCGCCGGGACCTGGGCTGGCGGCCGTGCCCTCCACCGCCGCCTCCCTCTCCTCGGCATGCACGACAGCTGGGAAGGGGGTCAAGGAGGGGGCCGAGGAGGGGGCAGGCCCTGCCAGGCCGCTCAAGCCGTGCCCTTCTATGGGCATGAGGTGGCCGGAGGCGCCCAGGGCCGGACAGCGCTGACGTGCGGAGCCGTTTCTGAGCGGGGACACAGCTGTTCCCCAGTCACCTGCTGTGTGTGGAGCGACCTGCCTCCCTAGAAGAACGGGGCTGTCTCTTCAGGGCACAGAGCCTGGGCCATGCCCCCCTCCCCTCCTTGGCGGCAAGCGAGCAATGGGTCCCAGCTAGCATGCCCTTCCCCCACAACAACAGCCCCCCCGCCGGATCCCAGCTGCCCAGCCTCTCCACTCCCCCAGGGCTCGGCCCCCTGAAGCCCCCGCACCAGGTCCCCGTGGTATTCAGCATGGAGAAGACAATCTTCCTCCACATACACACACACACACACACACACACACACACACGCCCTGCACACATTTCTGTCCTCTCATTGTCAATAGAAGCAGCATCACAGAATCAGGCAGAAGAGCTGGGCTTGGATCCACTTTGCAAGTCAACCCTGAGGCTGTGGGGGGCCCTGCCTTCGGGGGCTCAGCGGGGGTCCTAGTGGGACCCCCTCCCCTCCCCTCCGCCCCCTTCACCCCCTCCTCCAGCAGCAGCTCTGGGGCAAGTGCGGGCCGGCCCTGGGCGGCTCCAGCCCCGTGCTGTGGCTGCAAGCGTCTCATGTCCCCCAGCCTGGAGCCCCTGCTCCTTCCCTTCGGCTCGCAGGGGCAGAAGCCGCAGCCCCTGCCCCCTTCCTCCTGGGCTGGTGGTCTCTCTCCACACAGCTCCCACCCCTGACTGTCAGAACACGTGTCCCTCCTGAAGCCCCGACCACTCCCATCTCTCTGGCACCTGCCCCCTGGGGCAGTCGGACCCCCACGGTGTGGCTCAGCGTGGATGCCTGCCCTCAGCAGCCCTCCCCCAGCCAGGGACCCTCCTCCTCTGCCCCTGCACAGGCCCGGGTGGGGGTGGGGGGCCGCGGGGAGTGCTCCATGGAGCACAGCTGCCTCCTGAGGGAGCCTGGGTCACATAGCTCCTCTGCCTAGCTCTGGCTGCGGCCACACGGCTGGGCCTTCTTGCTGGCAAGCGGCACAGCCTCGGCTTGTGTCCCCTCACATCCCACCGCCGACCAACGGCGCCTGCCTGGCACTCAGAACCTGCGGCAACCTCGGCCTCCAACAGCACCGGGAGGGGGCAGCCTGGGGGAGGGGGCCCGGCCAGGCCTCTAGCACAGGCCTTGAGGATCCCGAGGCCGAGCATCCCTCTCGGCCAGGCTTCCTGGCCTGGGGCCCTCCCCACCTCCTGCCCACACGGCTTCGGCACTGCCTGCCCACGGCCTGGTTTCTTCCCCAGGTGTCCAGGCCGCATCCTGGACCTGTACCAGGCGTCCAGGCTTCCTGGTCCTGGGTCAGCATCCCACTAGCTGGTGGGGAACCCGGACTCTCCCAGTGAGGCCCAGCTGCAGAGGCAGACAGAAGAGGCGTCTACCTGCCCTGGGTGAGATGGGGTCCCCTGCAGCCTGTGTGCCTCCCCTGAGCCCCAAGGGTGCCATCGACCTCCGAGTTAAGCATCGCCCCCCCACCCCCCACCAACAACGTGTACATGCCAAGGTTTCTTGGGACCACAGCGCTCACGCGGCCCGGCCCGGGCCTTACCCTGTGCCTTCCTCCACCAGCAGCTCCTCGGAGCCAGGGTGGCTGGGAGCTTCCGCCATGGCCATGGGCTGGAGCTGGCGTCCAGCTGGTCCCTGCTGGTCCCTGCTGTGCGTGTGTGCTGCAGCTCTCAGCGCTTCCTGGGGCGGCTGCCCCGGAGCCTCCCCTCACCCCCCGCCGGGTTTCACTTCCCCCTTCTGGCGGCAGGTTGAGGTTTGGAGCATATCGGAGCTTGGGTTGGGGTGTTGTTTTTTAATCTGTTGCTGCAAGAGGAGAGAAAAAAAAAAAACAGCCATCAGGAAACGTTAAGCAAGTTGCAGGGGCCTGGAGGGCAGAGAGGGACCGGGTGGAGGCAGACGTGGGTGCAGGGGTGCAGGGGCTGGGACTCCCTGGGCCCCCTGCAGCCCTGGCCCGGAAGCCCACCTGTGCGTGGCTGGTGGCCCCAAGCACAGGGCGCCGTCCTGGTCCCCGAGCCTCCACGTTAGGCATGGTGACCTCTCTGGAGGGAGATGCTCTGGATATGTGCCCAGAGCTCGGACACTTACCCCAGAGCCTCGGGCCATCGCCTGGCTCACCCCTCACTTGTCTGTGCTCTCCAGGCGATTTCTGGGGCCCAGCATGAGCTGCCCTGTCTGCAGGCCCCGTGTCTTCTCTTGCCGTTTTCTTTACTTTCCTGAACTATTGGAGTCCCCAGTCTCTCTGCTGCCCCTGGACTCTGCCACCTCCTGCGCTCAGGGGCCTCGGAACTGGCCCTCAACTGCCAAGCATTCACCAGACCCCGGGGCCCTCCAAAGCATGCCCTCTCTCCCCTCTGCCCATCCCCACCCTCGAAGGCCCAGAAACAACTGATCCCTCCTGTTAAGGGCTGAACTGTGTCCGCCAAATTCATAGGTTGGAGTCCTAATGGCCAGCACCTCAGAATGGGACTTTATTTGGAAATAGGGTCATTGCAGATATAATCAGTTAGGATGAGGTCATTAGGGTGGGTCCTCATCTAACATGACTGGCGTCCTTATAAAAAGGGGAAATTTGCAGGCCGACTTGCCCGCCAGGAGACGCCATGTGAAGACGAAAGCGAGATGGGGGTGGTGCGTCTACAAACCAAAGGTCCCCAGGAAACCACCAGAGGCTGGGGGAGGGGCCCAGAACAGGTTCTCCCTCAGAGCCCAGGAGGAGCTCCCGTGGCACCTCCAAGACTGGGAGACGTTGGAACCGCCCCATCTGACACTTCCTGGGGCCTAAGAGTGGGAGACACCCCGTTCTCCACACGTGGGAGGTGGGAGTGCATGGCGGCCGTGCCCGAGGATGCTCTGGGGATCTGGGGGCCCACAGGGTGCTGTGGGCCCCCAGATGCAGCGCCCTCCATGGTCATCCAGGCCTCCCCCCCCTTGCCCTCATCTCCCATCTTGCCATCTGGCCCCCGTCCCCCGCCCCTCTCAAGCTCCAGCTCCTGCTCTGAGACTCTGCTCTCCCCAGCACTCAGCTCCTCTCCAGATCCCAGGGCCTCTTCCCATCCCTCCAGCCTCTGCGCCCCCACTGATCCCACTTTTGTGTGTGTCTCTAGAAGCTCTCACACCTTCAAACAAAAGCGCCCTGGACCCGCCCTTCTCACTCCTCCCTCCAAGGTCAGCAAGAGGCATTCCTGGGGACCCAGTGTCCAGGTTTGGGGGCCTTTGTGCCCTGCTGGCAGATTAAGCAGAGCCGGACTTCCTCGGAAGAACTAAGAGTCCACCCAAGAAGCAGACACACCATCATCTGTTCCACTGGCATCGCTCACTCAAGCTAGAGGGGCTGTTGGGAGGGCAGAGGCCCCTTGTAGTCCCCCTCTCACTCCCAAGCCCGGTGCAGTGTCCAGCGACACAGTGAATGACCGAGGCAAACAACGAGCTAGTCCGAAGCCCGGACGCAACAGGCTCTGCAGGAGGGCGGGGTGGGCGCCAGGCAGGCTTCTGGCCCCAGAGATGCTGAGCCCAGACCCCGAGGAGGTCTGGGCGAGGCAGATGGGGACAGAGAGACACGGGACACACTGACTCTGCCTTGCCTGTGGGACATCAAGGAGGAACGTCCAGGGGCGGCTGGGTCCATGGACCAGGTGGCCTCCAAGGCCCAGGTGGGACAGGTCCCCAGGGAGACCAGTGTCAGGACCACACGCTCAAGTGACAAAGTGACACTGGGTGACTAGATGCTGGGGAGGGGATGGGAGAAGTGGTCAGTCTGGTCTATCTGGAGCGCTGAGGGCACAAGTCGGCCAGCACGGGTCTGAGGCCGGCTGCCAGTGGGAGGAGGGCATGTCGCCGAGGGTCGGAAAGCGGCCTTCCAGGGCCGAGGGGTGGCAGAGGCCACAGGAGCACCGTTTAGGAGCCCACTGGGGGCTCCGTGGGTTGGAGGGGGGACAGTGGGAGAAGCAGGATGGATGAGGAGAAGGGCGTCTTGATCCAGGAGGGAAATGTTGAGGCTCTGAAGACAACAGGGTGGGGGGTGCGGCTGGAGAGAGAGGGGGCCTGGGAGGTCTATGAGCTGAATTGTGGCCCCTAAGATTTCACATGTTCCGGTCCTGACCCCCAGGACCCGTGAGCTTATCACAAAATAAGGTCTTTGCCAATGATCAGGTCACACGAGGTCACCAGGGTGGGGCCCTAGTCCCATAGGACTGGGGTCCTTATAGGAAGACGAGGTCAGGACACAGACACAGGACACAGGGAGAAGACGGCTGTCTACACGCCGAGGAGAGAGGCCTCAGGAGGAAACGGCCCTGCCCACACCTGGATCTGGGATTCCAGCCTCCAGGACTGGGGACAGTGAATGCTGCTGTTTGAGCCGCCCCGGCTGTGGTGCTGTTTTATGGGTGCCCCAGACACTGATACAGGGATGTGCTAGTCAGGGAAGGAAGAAGCTGCTGTAACAAACAATCCTACACCTCGGGGGCTTAGCCAGCCCAGTCCAGGCCAAGGTGGGCGGGAAGGTGGTCCACATTCGTTCTGTGACCCCAGGCTTCTCCCTCCGAGGACCTCAGAGTCCCAGCTGGCAGGGGAGGGGCGGGGAGACCATGAGGGAGGCTGGGGGGGTGGGTCTATGGCCTCATCTGTCCTCAAAGTGTGTGCCCAGTAGGAAAAGGTGGGCAGTGTGGTGGGCAGCCAGCCAGCTCCTGTCACCACGCGGTACAGAGGCCAGGGAGCGAGAAGATGGGGTGCCCAGCTGTGCTAGGGGTCCAGCCAGGGGTGCCATCATTAAGCACAGGTACGAAGCAGAAGAAGGTCAGGGGCACGAGAGGATGTGGACATGGACGCCCGGGACTGAGGTGCTGTGGAAACCCAAGCAGAGGTGGCCAGGGCCATTTGTGTGGGTGTGGGCAGAGAGCAGAGATGCGGGGAGGGAGATGGTCAGCGGGTCCGCAGGCTGCAGGGATGCCCAGGGTCTCCCGCTGGGGCTTGACCCTCATTCCTGCGCTCAGGCTTCCCAGGCCAGTCAGCCAGTGCGCGTGTGCACACATGCTGTGTGTGTGCCCTGGGGAGGAACTGCAGGGTTTGCTGGTGCAGCTCCCTCCACGCTCCCCATCAGGCAAGCTGGGTCCTGGAGCCGGAGGTGCCTGGGGACAGACAGGGACAGGGCAGGGAGTCTGCGGGGTGGGCGGGGGACAGACAGGTCGGAGGGAGGCCCGGGAGGACGATGACAGGCAGACAGGAGTGGCTGTGCTGAGCAGATTCACTGAGACAAGGCAAGGTGAGAGTCCGGGGCGGCAGGTGGGTTACAGGAGCCACCAGGGACAGGGGACAGCGGAAGAGACAGAGGAGCAGATAAAGGTGTCTGTGCACACACGTGTCACCTGATGGGGTCTGGGGGTCAGGCAGAGGGGTGCGGCTGAGACCCCCTGCACGGGCCGGGTCTCCCTGGAAGGGGGCAGCTGAGGTGAGCCTGGAATTGCCAGAAATTCCCCAGGGAGTCAGGGAGTGGGCTCCGGAAGCAGGAGAAACCATGAGGAGGGGGCCCAGGTGGAGGGTCCGCGATGACCCCCGCGGGCACAGCAGGGAGAAGCTGTCCAGAAGGTCTTCCTACGGGCACACCACCCCCCCCCACCAAGGACGACAGAGGATGAAAACTGGGAGTCCAGCAAGGACTTTGGTGATGGGGGTGGTCAGGAGGTAGGGTCAGATGTGAGAGGAGCCCCGGGACCCAGTGTGGACAGTGGGCACGCAAACTCCTGCCCCGCCTGAGGGCTACCTGCCCTCTACACAGGGTTACCATGGCCTGGACCATGTGCCGGGCTCTCGGGGCTGAGGGCTCACAGAAGGCTTCTTTGAGGAGGTGGGGAGGGGGCAGCCGAGGGAGAGCCCAGGAGACGCTTCCAGAACTGGCGTTGAGGCGGGTGTGGCATGGCAGAGAGGTTGGGGGCAGCTGGAGGACTCCCAGAAGGGGCCAGAGCTCCCTCCTCACCTGTCCATCCTGTGAGCCGGGTATACTCACATGCACACCCATTTTGTTGTCAGGTAAACCGAGGTCCAGCTGCTGTGAGGAGGAGGGTGACAGGGAGGCCTGTGGCTTGCTGGTTAAGGGGCAGGGGGAGCAGGTCTGGGCCTGGATGGAGCTGGTGCTTGGGGACCAAAGGGGACAGGTGTGGACAGGTGGTCACGGGCGAAGCTGGAGAGAGGGTGAGGCACCATGAAGCCCTGCAGGTGGATGCTCACGGAGAGGCTCTGTGTCCTCCAGGCCACGCTGGCTTCCCCCTGGCCAGGTGGGGATACAGGTGAAGGGGGAGGGGAGGCCTGTCCCACAGGTGCAGGAAACCCAGGGGGACCGCAACCCATACTAGTCCTTACGGCTCCACCCACTTCCAAGTGGACCCTCGGCTCCGCCCCCCCCCCCCCCCCCCCCCGAGGCTGGCACCGCCCACCCTGCCCCGTCTCTCTGGCCCACTGCACTCACCCAACCTGCTGAAGAAGGGCGTGTCCAGAGCCCTCCCGAGACCCCTGTCTGGGTCTCCCACGTCCATCAAGCCCGCTGCCCTGTCATCAGCCCACGGGCCCCGCCCGGTCTCCCGAGCTCCCTGGGCTCGTCTGCCCACATCTCCATCTTCAGAAGTCTGGGCTTAAGAGTGTTCTCGTTTAGGGGCTTCCCTGGTGGCGCAGTGGTTGAGAATCCGCCTGCCAATGCAGGGGACACGGGTTCGAGCCCTGGTCCAGGAAGATCCATCATGCCGTGGAGCAACTAAGCCCGTGCGCCACAACTACTGAGCCTGCGCCCTAGAGCCCGCGAGCCACAACTACTGAGCCCCTGCGCCACAACTACTGAAGCCCGCGCACCTAGAGCCCGTGCTCTACAACACGAGAAGCCACCGCAATGAGAAGCCCGCGCACCGCATCGAAGAGTAGCCCCTGCTCGAAACAACTAGAGAAAGCCCGTGCACAGCAACAAAGACCCAACGCAGCCAAAATTTAATTAATTTTTTTTAAAAAGTGTTCTTGTTTTGACGTTTAAAAGTTTTATCTGGGGAAATGATTTCAAACTGACAGAAAAGTTTCAAGATTAACGCAAAGAGCATCTTTAACTCTGTCACCTGCTGTCGCTGCCTCTCACTCTCTCCCCTCCTCTACTCCTAAGGCCCTCGTGGCCTGTTTTCTGAAACTGGAGCCACCCTCTCCCCTGACCACAGTGCCGACACCAACCTCAGTCTAGCGGACGTGAAACACCACCGTCATCTCACCGGCCAGTCTGT